GGTCAAATTAAAGTCAGCTTAGTAAGCCAATTAGATTTTAGATGTTTTTGTTAGAAGACAAACTACTCTGTGGTAAAGACATTTATTTCCTCATATCTGTGTGTAAGATTTATTATGATTAACTAGATTTATTACAGTATAATTAATAAAATAATTAGTGTTTATAATTATTGTGGACAAGTTGACAAAGAAAACATATGTCAGATGAGTTTAAAATATGTCATGTACTGTGTTAATATTGTCAGGGTTATGGATGAAGTTGGACTCAACCAAGACTATATATAGCGAATGTGTCTTATAATTAGATATGCTTTACATCAACTTATTTACAAAACACCTTATTTATTAAAGCCTTTTACCAAGGTTGCTTGACATGAAAAGGTGTCTATAATACAGTGTAAAAATGGAAAACAAACGCATGAATACCAAAGGCAGAACTGATTTGATTTCATGCAGAATTCATTTGACTTTTGTTGCCCTCTGTCTTTAAAGCACTGTCACACTGTTGATATATGTTTGTTCAAAAAGACTGATTTAAATTAAGCCTTGTCACACAAGTTTTTTCCTGAATTCATTATGCATTATTATTGTGCAATGCTATTAATTACTGTAACTGCAGAATTAAATTAGTGCATTTATTAATGCAAATCTTCAACAACGAACAATAGTAAATGATTAATTGAAGCAATGCCCATACATATTTTACCATAATGTTACTATCAAAAATAAGAATTAATTGCGGTGTTCGTTCCTGTTATATTCTTTTAATTAATAAAAAGAATGCATTAATATTTGAATCTGCAGTAGTTTTTCTTATAAGTTATATTTGTCAACATTTGAATATCCATGTGGCACTGAACATGAAAGACAGAATTCATGTACATTTATACATTTGACAAATTGGTTATACCTCTTGAAAGATGTTACTAAGTAAATACAGTCTTTTGTTTCTTTTTGTTGTTGGGTGGCTGTTTAATTGATATTTACATCAAAACTTTATTCATGGTTAAGAACAAATTTAAATATCCTAAGATTATTGAAATTGCTATGGTATGACTTCATAATTCACTTTGTAAGGCCTAATAAACTGTTGTTGTTTTTTTTTTATAAATTTGCATGTGAGCAGTAAATCCAAAAATATGGTTTTACTAAAAAACAGATAACATACAATGGTCACAAACAGTTTGTTTTTTATCAAAAAGACATGTAAAGCTTGTTCTATGCTGAAACGATTACATAGGACCATTAAAATAGATAATGACCAGATTATGGTGCATAAACTGGTAAAGGTAGTCCTTTCTTGTGAATCTCCTCAGTGGTTTATTGGTGGTGTGCTAGCCTCGGGTGTAGTATGTCATGGGTTGTTCCCACGCTGTATCAAACTTAAACTTAAAAATTGGTATAGTGTGCTAGCCTCGGGTGTAGTATGTCATGTGTTAATCCCTGGCTGCACCAAACTTAAACTTAAAAATTGGTATAGTGTGCTAGCCTCGGGTGTAGTATGTCATGTGTTAATCCCTGGCTGCACCAAACTTAAACTTAAAAATTGGTATAGTGTGCTAGCCTCGGATGTAGTATGTCATGTGTTAATCCCTGGCTGCACCAAACATAAACATGCCAAGAAATTGCCTCCATTGAAATTCTGCAAACACCCCATAGAGCAAATTACATGGATGATTAATATTGACCATTTTGGTATATGGCCGTGTTCTAAGCGACACGTACATGAAGGTCATAAATTAATTTGTTGAATGAAATCAAATCTTTAGCTACTAATGAGTGCCGTAGGAGGTAGACCGGAATTTTTAGCGAGGATTTCTTGGCATGTTACAGATAGAAAACTCAGGGTTAGAATTCATAGAACAGAAAAGGGGCAGTGGCAAATATTTCATGTATATTTTGAACACAGAGAGAATTACCCCGGCACCCTTTGCAAAAAAAAAAACAACATTCTTTTTCTTATTTGTGCCTTCGGACTTTATGTTTTGAATTGTAGTTTCACTTTCCATATTCAATATTTATTCAAATGTAAGCTCCACGTGGTAAAAAACACGTGATGCAGGAATATAGTATCTTAGAGTTAGGCTATTTCTTTCTTTTCGGGCGGGGACTCCAAGCAAACAACATGCATGTGTATAACGGTACTGCAGATTTTCGTATTAAATAAAGAAAGTTGCCGGTCCGGTACATGAATAGATTGGTTAGAAAGCAAGGTTTTAATTTTAATTAGATTGGAAAGCTTAATTCGAGGGTTGAAAATAGAGAGTACAAAAAAGGGGGGAGGGGAGGTGTTCCACAGGGAGTATTCTTATCTTATGAACACTACATTTGAAAGGTTTATTATTTTTTTTATTTAATTAAAAAAGAGAAAAACAAATGTAAGACAAATTGTGAATGGTCTTTCTTCCTTTCTCCTGTTACAGATAGAAAACTCAGGGTTAGAATTCATAGAACAGAAAAGGGGCAGTGGCAAATATTTCATGTATATTTTGAACACAGAGAGAATTACCATGGCACCCTTTGCAAAAAAAAAAAACTACATTCTTTTTCTTATTTGTGCCTTCGGACTTTATGTTTTGAATTGTAGTTTCACTTTCCATATTCAATATTTATTCAAATGTAAGCTCCACGTGGTAAAAAACACGTGATGCAGGAATATAGTATCTTGGAGTTAGGCTATTTCTTTCTTTTCGGGCGGGGACTCCAAGCAAACAACATGCATGTGTATAACGGCACTGCAGATTTTCGTATTAAATAAAGAAAGTTGCCGGTCCGGTACATGAATAGATTGGTTAGAAAGCAAGGTTTTAATTTTAATTAGATTGGAAAGCTTAATTCGAAGGTTGAAAATAGAGAGTACAAAAAAGGGGGGAGGGGAGGTGTTCCACAGGGAGTATTCTTATCTTATGAACTCTACATTTGAAAGGTTTATTATTTTTTTAATTTAATTAAAAAAGAGAAAAACAAATGTAAGACAAATTGTGAATGGTCTTTCTTCCTTTCTCCTGTTACAGATAGAAAACTCAGGGTTAGAATTCATAGAACAGAAAAGGGGCAGTGGCAAATATTTCATGTATATTTTGAACACAGAGAGAATTACCCCGGCACCCTTTGCAAAAAAAAAAACAACATTCTTTTTCTTATTTGTGCCTTCGGACTTTATGTTTTGAATTGTAGTTTCACTTTCCATATTCAATATTTATTCAAATGTAAGCTCCACATGGTAAAAAACACGTGATGCAGGAATATAGTATCTTGGAGTTAGGCTATTTCTTTCTTTTTGGGCGGGGACTCCAAGCAAACAACATGCATGTGTATAACAGCACTGCAGATTTTCGTATTAAATAAAGAAAGTTGCCGGTCCGGTACATGAATAGATTGGTTAGAAAGCAAGGTTTTAATTTTAATTAGATTGGAAAGCTTAATTCGAGGGTTGAAAATAGAGAGTACAAAAAAGGGGGGGAGGGGAAGTGTTCCACAGGGAGTATTCTTATCTTATGAACTCTACATTTGAAAGGTTTATTATTTTTTTTATTTAATTAAAAAAGAGAAAAACAAATGTAAGACAAATTGTGAATGGTCTTTCTTCCTTTCTCCCATGCCAAGAAATTGCCTCCGTTGAAATTCTGCAAACACCCCATAGAGCAAATTACATGGATGATTAATATTGACCATTTGGTATATGGCCGTGTTCTAAGCGACACGTACATGAAGGTCATAAATTAATTTGTTGAATGAAATCAAATCTTTAGCTACTAATGAGTGCCGTAGGAGGTAGACCGGAATTTTTAGCGAGGATTTCTTGGCATGCTTAAAAATTGGTATAGTGTGCTAGCCTCTGGTGTAGTATGTCATGTGTTAATCCCTGGCTGTATCAAACGGTATAATGTGCTAGCCTCTGGTGTAGTATGTCATGGGTTGATCCCTGGCTGTATCAAACCGAAACTTAAAACTTGGTATAATGTGTCTTAAGTATGATATATTTTTCTGCGTGTTGTTACTTTTAAAGATTTAATTCAGTGCATTGGACCAGTACAAAGCAGGGGTATATTCATATCTCAAGTTAATGTTTTCGTCTTTAATAAGTGATATTTGATGCTGAACATTGAGCAATAATCAATCAATCTATAAGTCCTTTCCTGTGTCCATTATATTAGATCTTTTTAATACCGCTTTTCCTGTGTCCATTATATTAGATCTTTTTACCTCTTTTCCTGTGTCCATTATATTAGATCTTTTTACCTCTTTTCCTGTGTCCATTATATTAGATCTTTTTACCTCTTTTCCTGTGTCCATTATATTAGATCTTTTTACCTCTTTTCCTGTGTCCATTATATTAGATCTTTTTACCTCTCTCAGTATAGTGAAAATGTTAGTAAAATTCTTTGCTATTTTATGTCTGATATAATTATAATAACATTTTGTTAGGATGTAACTAAAATTATCTAATATCTCGGTGCAAGTTTGCCTCATGTAAAAATAAGTGTTTGGTGAGATGTCTTAATTTCAATATTGTGTTTTCGGTATTATTTATATTTTATTATTTTTTTGGTTCATACCTTATAATATCAGTATACAGAACAGCTTTCAACAAGCTCTGGTTCATAACATATAATATCAGTATACAGAAGAGCTTTCAACAAGCTCTGGTTCATAACATATAATATCAGTATACAGAAGAGCTTTCAACAAGCTCTGGTTCATAACATATAATATCAGTATACAGAAGAGCTTTCAACAAGCTCTGGTTCATAACATATAGTATCAGTATACAGAAATAAAAAAAAACCCACTGGTTCATAACTTATTGCCAGTATTCAGGAGAGCTTTCAAAAAGCTCTTGTCTATAACTTATAATATCTGTTTACAGAAGAGCTTATCCCAAATTGAATTTGTGATAAAGAATCTGTGGAATTTGTTATAATTTTGGGAGGACGTAAATGTGCTTCCATAAGTTTCAGCTTATTTTTTAAAGTTAATTTATATTTTTCAAATTTCAGGTTGAGATGACTGGTAGCAGTATTTTTGACTATGTTCATCATGCAGACCACAATGAACTTGCTGAATATCTTGGCTTAGGCTTTCAAAACGGTTAGTTTTAAATATATTTAAAAATATGTAATAATTTGTCACCTACACAATGCCTAAAATACACAGCAGACTATTTTGAAGTTTCACATGTAAGCCACTTGAAGAGGACTAGGGTCGAGTGGAAGGTTGTGAAAATTTGTAAATTCTGGAGTTCTAAGGAAAAGAAAATATTTGGATGATTTTTTTTTGTCAGTGCAGTTAGCATGAATTTTGTCTCCCACAAGCTATTTTCTTATGACCAATTTCCTTATTATCTCAAATGGCACAAATGGCCATTTGGAGCTATACTCATTGCTTGAGGTCTATGTGATATCTGTTGTCGCCTTTGAAATTGAAACCAAATTTGGTATCAATCCTTTTTGAGGGTACCTTGTTTAAAATTTATTCCTTGAGTTCCTACTGATAAACCAACATAGCCACTGAGCATAAGTTAAAACAGGCAAATGGAAGACTTTATTGATCTATTTTAAGATACTTGTCCATTATCAGTTTTTTCTTGTGTAATAAATGGTTACATATAAACTACAAATATTGTCTAGTTGGCTTCCTTATGACCTAATTATGACTAGGACTTATAAAATTGCACTAAATTTCACTGCAATATCTTTTAGATTTTTAGCCTTTTTTTTAGATCTTGAAATGATTTACATGTACAAATGTACAATGTATATGGCATTCATATGTGAAATGAGAAATTACTGATAGCATTAGGATTTTATTCTAGTGACTTAATTTTTTTATGAGTTATAATCTTAAGACTTAAAATATTTCAAGAAGAAAAAAAATTATGTCCGCTCATAAGCATCGGTTTTGGTGATCTGCTTTTAACCCATAATTCATAGGTTAGGTTAGATTTTTGAATCCCTGATTAATTTTTGTTTAATTTTTTTTCGGTAAAAGATATTTTTTTTTATCTATGAGGAATATATAACATATTTAATTAAAATTTCAAGTTTCAAGTTTTGACCATGCCTTTTTTAAATCTACCACTTGAGGGTCTATATAGCATCACTTTTCTTATTGCATGCTTTTGTCCAACATAGGACCTGTTATGTTTGATTGTTTTCCTTCAACTGTGATGAATTATTAGAAAAGGGGTATGTATGAGTTTCTGTAATTTGATGATTTCCACATTTGTCATTTCAAATTCATGTGTATCTATTTATTAAAATAATAGCCATTTTGTCACACACTTATTCATGTTTGCTCCTCTGTTCTACTGAAATGACTTGAGATAGCAGGAATGATTGTTGAGGGGGTGGACAGGAGTAAGGGAACATGGGAATGAGGGAGTGGGAAGCAGGAGTTGGGGGTCAGAAACCAATGGAAGAGGTCGAGTAACAATTGGGATATTCTGAGAACAAATTTTTTGATCGATTTTTGTCCAGGAGTAAGAGGGGAGGGAATTTGGAGTAAAAGGGGAGGTAAATGGGAGTTAGGAAAAGGGAAGTGGGAATCAGGGACCCCCTGTCCACCCCCTCATAGTTAAAGTGGTGCACTTTTTTTTAATAATCTTGTTTGCGGAGACAGCATGTGGAACTTAATTTTTATTTTTTTTATGATTGATGGGGAACGGTAAAAAAAACATTTACAAAGAAAAGTTCATAAGGATGTTGTATCTTCTACATTAGAAAAAAAAACCTAATTAATAGAAGATCTAGAATTGATACAGGAAGCACAAAAACAAAACCAAATGATTCAATTGAATTATTCTTAACTACAAAAAGCAAGTGCATCAAAATGTTAAGAATATTTTTCTTCTTATATACATTTGAAATGATATCGTAGATATGCTCTTCACCTTATGTCAATTACAATTTTAGATATATGATAACGTATGACTAAGTTTGAATGAATATTGTTTTTTATTTAGATATATGTATGTTAATTTGAAAATGGCCAATTAAGTATGAAAGTGACCACTATAAAATCTGTAATTCTTAAAATTGACAAAATAAATTAATGTATTGGTAGTAAAATTTGTAATTTTAAGAATGTGAACATGTTATAATGAGTAGACTGACATATACTGATCAGTTAAATATCAACATCAAAGGTTTAACATTCAGGTAAAACAACAGGTATTTACAAACTCTTTGATTACTCTTATTCTATTTTCTGTGACAACTTCCTGGGATTATTCAGTACATTTGATGTCATTTTTGTCATTTTCTAAAAAAGAAACACACATTTGCTCATCTTCAAAAGGGACAAAATGTACATATATGTTTGTGTTATTAATCAGTAAAAGTTAGCTATTATGCTTCATTGAATTCATATTGTCGTTCTCTATGACAAAGGATTAAATATTACAGGAAACATATAAAAAATTACTTCCGAGGAATTTATTGACGAACCTCAGAATTCTGACATAATGGTTTTGAACACCTGAGTAATAGAATTTATAATGTGTCCACTTCTTTTTATATTTTGACATAAATACATTTTGTGCTTGTTTTATGTTTCCTAGTCAATGAAATTGAATTTATTGTTGAAATAATTTGCTTGTAATGGATAAGAGGGGGAAGAGAATGAAATATAAAAGTGCATCAAAATGCAAGTTTTATGAATAATTTTATTACACATAACTCACCTGTGTGGGGTGACTGATAATATTTAGAAATTTGAAAATAAAGCTGTCGAATGAAAATAATTCTTTTGTATATTATACAATTTCATTCAAATCAAAAGAAGGATTTTCCTGATATTAAGAGTTTTTTGTTATGTGATTATAAAATTTAACGTTGCATTTAGGATTGTAATGTCCAATGAGATTTCAAGATATTTCCTAACCGCCATATCATTATAGAACTTATGTTGATATTTGGTATAATAGCAAAATATCTTAGCTATGTCATTTATTTGTGGACTGATGCACACAAAATTGTTATATCTCATTTAAATATTTTTATAGTATTTTAAGAAGCTATTTTATGCCTTGTTTACAATAGTAGAGGGGCGTTGTATTTTTGGTCTGTGCGTTCATATGTTTATTAGTCTATTATAGTCCATTTTTTGTTTTGTTCATCCATCCTGTATCAGGATAAAGTTTTGGTTTAAGGTAGTAATCCATGAAGTTATGGTCACATCTAATTGAAACTTAGTTTATGGTGCAAACCTTTTAAAATACCGGTACATGCAAAATTGGTGTTTTACAGATTATGTAGTTCACTGAACATTGAAATGTGATAGTGTGAGCGGGGCATAGTGTTCTATGGACACATATTCTTTGTTTTTCTTTCAAATTGATCATGCAACATATAAACTGGATGTGCCTTATATGTGGAGAACAAATAAACAATACAATAAAGTAATTAAAGCAACACCATGCATCCCCCTCCTCCCCCTCCCCCCCAAAAAAAAAAACAACAAAAAACAAAAAAAAAGAATAATTGTAAGTTGTAAGTAGAATGAATACAAGTGACAGCACATTTTGCATGAAGCTCAGAAACATTTCTTGCTTTAAATGTACAGTCAGTGGCTTTCTTATCACTGAAAACTTACAAAATATATATTTAAGTCTTATATATGAACAGACTTACAAACAAAATTATATTGTACGCAGTAAATATGAATTATAAAAAAAAAAGTCTTAATTATTCAAAGGTATTGATTTAGCTATGATAGATTTATCTTTTGTTTACAGTGTATCTATAGTGACACAAAAATAATTGTTTCAAAATGGTTACCAGTTTTCATACCATATAAAAGTTAGTGATAGCACCATGTGACAAATGTTTTATCCAATAATATTGAGCAAATACATTCTGTAAATTTTACGGTTTAATTTGCCTTTTTCTTGCTTATTGTTCTGTGTGAAATCAAGCTTGCTGAATAGAGGCACAATAAAATATTGAATTATCATTTGATTACATCCCTTGTTGAGATGTGGTCAATCTGTGCAATCAGTAAATGCATTCACTTGTCATGCCTTCTATTTACCTTGAGTACATCTTTGTAAGTAATGATTCATTGTTTGATTGTTCACCACTTTAAGAAGGCAAATAGTGAATAAGTTCGAAATCTGTAGCATTTGAAGATTGATGTGAATATTAATGAAAGTTTGAATCTGTTGCAAAAGAACAACAATTTTATTGATGTTTTTCCCTAAGCTTATGTAGGTTTTAAATTTGTTTCGGTGTCAACATAAAGTTGACATCAGTCCGTGTTTTAAATTGTTGTAAGTTAAATAGAAAACTTCCTGTGTTATAACTGTTAGTTATAATTAAATATATTCCCAATTTAAATCTTCTCCATTTACTTATGGATGTAAACTCATCACTTCTCTGTATAGTCCAAATGATAGTTTTGTTCAATGCTTGAATGATTGGTTGTTTCTTTTTCAGTAGTCAGTAATGCTCCATCACCAGGCTCTACATCAGATGAGGGATCAGCACCTTCAACACCTCGTCCAATGTCTCCATCCAATCCTGATAGAGGTATATATTACTCATTCTGCCTTATTACATTACATTTATATACACAGTCAAACCTCTATATAAAAAAACACGCTCAGAACCACAGAAAACTCACCTTATAAGATAGTGGACCTTTTGAATTAATGTTGAAAATGCAAAATTATTACTACAAAGGGAAATGACAGGTTTTGGAGTTATAGAGGTAATTTTTATAGTACTTTTAACTATATTTATATATATACATATAAAGCATAAGTACATTATGATGAGGAACCTTCTATAAAGTGAGGGAGATTATCATGTCCTTTTACTTCCTACTATTGGAGCTTCTTTGATTAAACTCTATGGTAAGTAGCAAAATTTTATAGCCAAAATGCTTCTCATGCTTTCTAGGAAGAGAAAATTTACCAATTCATTAATGAAAAGTCATAAAAAATATTCAGTGACAGAATGTTCATTAGCAGTTCAACTCAACAGATCACTTTAATGGATGGAAATTTTCACACTAATAAAAAAGAGGGACAAATACCAAGGGAGCAATAAAAAAACTTAAGTCAAAGAAAAACTGACAATACCATGGCCAAAAAGAAAATGAGGAATAGACAAATATCAGTTTACAAAACACTATACAGAATGTACCGATTGAGCAACACTTACTTGGGAAAAGATAATTGTTCTTCTCATTTAACCAAAATTAGAATTATACTCATAATTCTACCAGCAATACAGAGCTCAAAATGAGATACAACTGGAACTTTATCTTACCTTGGGATATTGCAATCCTATAAACTTATAGCAGAGCTTACACATTTTCCTGCTATTGATCTTTTGATAAAAATAATAACATGACAAACAATATCTAGTTATTGTACCAACAGGAGCTGAGGTATATAACTTTCAACATGTTCCTCTGTTCCTTCAATTGAGCAGTATTATTTACTCACGATTTTGGTCATTCTGGTCATTCTTTTCAAATTAGAACTTTTTGGTATAGGGGAGATAATTCATATTAATATTGATAACATAAAATATGATGTTAATTTCAGTTGCCTATATGATACCAAATCCTGACAAACCACTAGAAAGAACGTTTTGTTTGAGAATGAAATCTACCCTGACAAAAAGAGGTGTTCATGTCAGAACTTCTGGATATAGGGTATTGTTTTATTTTATATATTTTTGAGACATTCATGGTTATAAAGAAATTGGTTAATGTGTTGTACAAAAAAAAGATAAGGAGATGTGGTATGATTGCCAATGAGGTAGATATTCACCAGAGACCAAAGGAAGAGAATGTAAAAACTACAGGTCACTGTTCAGCCCTCTACAATAAGCAAAAATCATATGAAAGGCCCTGAGATGACAAAATGTGAAACAATTCAAAAGAGAAAATCTAACTGCTTGATTTATGCTAAAAACAGTAAAAGAAAAAAGAATTGGCAGACACTAACCAACTATAACAACTGAATTACAGACGACATGTATGTTGTATTTGTGTGACAATTCAAAAATTTGATTTTAAATGAAAACATTTATAGTCAATTTTACATTTTAATATTACTATAAACCATGGAAAGCATAGACCTGCTACATCTCTCTGTTTTTTTCAGGTGGTATATGTAACTGCCCATTTTCGTCCCCAGATGTGTTTTAACCTGAACAGAAAATCTACAACACAGTATTTAGGATTGGTTGGCATTGCTATAGCACTACCCCCTCCCACCATCACAGAACTCAGGATAGAAAGTGACACATTCATAATGAGGCTATCTCCAAACTTAAAAATCCTATACTGTGATACAATGTAAGTTGAAAGCAAAGGAACCAAGTGAAGGATTATATCTAGAACATGTCTGAGGGAGTTCATTTGACCTTGACCTTGTTAATTGTTCATTGATCAATGTTAGTTAGGACAAGTTATAGGTCAATCCATTTTATTTGATGTATATAATGGTTTTAATGGAAACATGTGCATCTGATAGTGTTCATCTGACCTTGAACTCATTTTTATGATTCATTGATCATGGTATGTTTTGTGATACCTGTAGTAAGACCCTTGATCTCAAAGACTTTCAACATAACTTTCAGTCATAATTATTAAAGCAGATGAGACATGTTTATACCCCCACTTTAATATAGTTGGGGTATACTGTGTTACCTCTGTCTGTCCATCCATCCGTCAGTCCATCCGTCAGTCTATCCATTTGTCAGTCCATCCTTCGGTCCCATGAATATTTTTCGTCACATCTTTCTCTGGAACTACAATACAAGGATTTCTGAAATTTGGTTTCAGGGTTTATATAAGTCATCTATACCGTGTGATGTGTTTTCAGATTCATCACTCAACAACTTCCTGTTTACTGAACACTTGTATCATTTTACACATGATAGCCAAGTTGAAAATTTTCGTCACATTTTTCTCAGGAACTACAATACAAGGATTTCTGAAATTTGGTTTCAGGGTTTATATAAGTCAGCTATACCGTGTGATGTGTTTTCAGATTCATCACTCAACAACTTCCTGTTTACCGAAATATTTGGGCAGGGGTATCATCAGTGAGCAGTAGCTCGCAGTTTCACTTGTTGCATTTGCAGTCTTCTGTTATATTTAGACATGCATTTTTTGGGGGGTAATTTTTATGCCTCACTTAATAAGGGACTTTCCACTTTGAATTTTCCTTGGAGTTCTGTATTTTTGTTATTTTTTTTTCTTTTTACATAAACAATGACTTTTTAAAGATACTCTTTTTATTTGAAACCTATGCTTCTTGCAGGATAACAGAGTTAACAGATTGGAATAGTGATGATGCCAATAACAGAATGTTCTATGATTTCTGTCACGCTGGAGATGTTATCAGAATACTCAAACATCATGAAGATTGTAAGTTCTCCATCATCATTCATTTTTCAGAAGAAAATTTTAATGAAAAAACTAAACACCATTAAACAGTTTTTCCAAAATTGACCTAATGCTGTAACATTAAACTTTAATTCAGTAACATCAGAGATTTTTTATTGTGGGGAAAATATTTTTTGGGAAGCCTGTTAAAGGTTAATCAAAAATTCATGTTTTGGAATTCATTTAAGGGAGAGAAGAAACATGTATGTGGACATTTCTAGATAGTATATCCACATCTTTTTTCATACAAGAACCAATCCTCAAATTAATATTTCTAAGTATTTCAAAAAAGAAGACTCAATGAATAAGTCACAACTTTGTTTAAAAATATAAAATCTTTTATGATGTAAGTAATTCCCAAGAATTATTTTAATTTGTAATACACATATTCAGGTACTGTGGATGCTAATAGTTTGGAATGCTATTACATGTACATACAATCAAATGAGAGCTTTAAAACACACACACAAACAATGATGATCAAAGCAACTTTATGTTATCTTTTCTTTAGAAGGTTCGTAATTCATTCAGTAAATCAATGTGTTCTTTAAGTAAAGGAAATGCAACAAGTTTGGATATTATATTTTTGACATGAGAAATTGAGTATTAATAGTATGCCACTGAACAACTGTCAGAAGGATAAAACTTGTTAATGGAACTTATAGGAGTCTACATATGTTTTTACAGTAATGCGTAAAGGCCAAGTTCTGACAGATTACTTCAGATTTATGAACAAGAATGGTGGATATGTATGGGTACAGATGTGTGCTACCACATTGTTTAGTTCCAAAACATCTGATGATCATACCATCCTTGCCATTATATATGTACTAAGGTAAGGCATAGTTGATACAGAATTTTTATCTAAAGAAATTACCTATAAAGATGCAAAAAAAGCTTTTCAAGAGTTGGTAGATCCTTATGAAATTTTAATGCAATATTCTTTTTTTTCAAAAAAAAGCTTGTATGGATGTGGGATTTTGGTTTTTATCAGAACAGTGTTATGAAATGAATGAGTCTAGATGGGCTGAACCCTTGAAATTTCAACTTTTTTGATATTTTTAATCTGATACATGTATAAATGTTTGACAGTGTCCAGCTATTGGTAGCGACACACAGGGATCAATTCTGTTGTCTTTCTCCGCATTACACTTTATGTTAATTTGTAATTCCTTGAAAACAACTTTGCAGAATTTCAAAAATTTGCACACATTCTTAAACAGTACATGAAGTTGTGTACCTGCTATTTTAGTTTTTAATCTGAGAGATTTACGGAGATTCCCATACCAAAACTTGTAAAAAAAGGGCTCAAACATTTTTACTTACTGTGAATTCATTTACAATCGTGGGTACCAATTTTTGTGGATTGAAGTAACACTTATATTTGTGTGGGTATTTGCCAAAGTCTGCATGCATTTCTGTACAAAATTTGTAAATTGTTGAACATTTAAATTCGTGGTTCCCCTGTACCACAATTGGTATTTTACGAATACTAATGAATCCACAGTATATCATGTGGAATTGACAGGCCGGACACAACTTTTTAGAAGACTCACACATATTTTGTGCATATCTTATAAAATCCCTCCCAGCATTTTTTAATCAATTTTTAGGCAAGTTTGAATAGATTTTATATAACTTTTAGTGTTTCATAGTTATCACATTATTGTTTTGTACATGCCTAAAGAAGACTAGGTCTGAAATTACTTATTTAATTCTTAAGCATACTCTTTCTTCAGCATATGACTGTGTCAAAACACAGAACTGTATCAGCAGTCTCTCTGTTTTGTAAGTATTTATACTTACCAGTCAGAAACAAACTTTTTCATTACTTATGTTCAAATGATTTGACTGGTAACTGTTATTATCTCATAAAATTGTGACATGAGATATAAATAATTAAATTTTCTGTTGTGTTCTGTATATTGGGTTAATATTATTATTATATTTATGGACAAAGGGAGATAATTAGATATCTGTCAAAATATATCTTACCATGTCTATGAAGTTATTATTGTGATGTCTGACAGCATCCAGCTGTTCTGCACTTGCCAGCTTTTTATTTACATTTAAAAATCTTTTAGATGGTACATGACATAATTTCTAATGTCATATTGTGTGTAATGAATTAGTAAATGAATATTGTTAATTTTAGCGGAATACTTCATCGAGGCTGTGTAATGGATCAGAATCAAACATCAGGACCTATAAGACATTTAGACACAGATCAGTCAGAACATCAAAGTGAACATGGATCTGACATAGGTATGCAATGACTAATGTGACCACCAAAGATCTTTCCTTTTTTTCCCTTCTATATCCATCACTTGGTGTTATCTGTCATAGTCTTTTGTATTCTTCGTTGTTAATATTTAAAAAAAAATCATCTGAAACGGCTTATCTGGACCAAACTTGGCCAGAATCATGTCAGGGTGTCTACTTTTTTTATTATGCCAGTCACACAAAAAAATTGTAGCCATGGCTATAAATAGAACATAGGGGTTAAATGCACATAATTGTCTTTTATCTTAAAAACTGTAAAAGACAGTTATTTTCAAAAGTCTTTTAAATGGATTTTAATCATTAGCTGTAATATTTTGTTGAGAAGGTTCAACAATGATTTATTGTAATATTTTCATGCATAAACATGAATGTGGCAGGGGGATGCCTTAGAAGTATGCCCTTTTCCATCTTTAGATAATTTTGTTTTAGCTCAGATATTTTTTACAGCTTGTCTATTTTAGGGTTTAGAAAGTACAGTTATGTTAAGTTTGTGTGTTAGATATGCAAAACATAAAATCAGTAATAATTTTGTTTGCTACCTATTTAAGGGGAAAAATCAATAATAGCCAATCCTTATCACTGAACTAGTAACAAAAGTGTACCTTTAGAAGAAGTTTAACCAATTTGTTTCTTTTGTTTACCATAGTTAATAAAGTATTCATGGTTCACTCAACAAATATGCCTCCCCGACCTCTAGTTACTAACTACATAGTCTAATAGTTTAGTTGTAATGGTATATCTATGCTATTTCGTCAATGTGGTCCTCTTGTTGTGAACAAAATACTGTAAATTCAGAAATTATATGCGAGGTTTTTATCAATGCAAATAATGCGAATGAGTGAATGAAGATCGCAATAATAAAGACCTCTGATACTGATATCTGTATGCAGAATTTCCTGAAATCGCAATAATTAACCTCGCATTTTAGCCCATTCTTCAAAAATCGCAATAATAAATGCACACAATAATTTCTGAATTTACAGTAGTTCAAAATTATTTGAGTTGCTGTGAACTGCATTGATTTATCAATATTCAACTTTACATCTCAAGTAATTTTTATACAACCGCAAAAAATTTTGCGGTCGTATATTGGTATCATGTCATCGTCGTCGTCGTCAGCGTCGTTCGAAGACATTTGGTTTCCGGACAATAACTTTTGTAAATGTAAATAGAAATTTATGAAATTTAAACACAAGGTTTATTACCACAAAAGGAAGGTTGGGATTGATTTTGGGGGTTATAGTCGTAACAGTTTAGGAATTAGGGGCCAAAAAGGGGCCCAAATAAGCATTTTTCTATTTTCCAGACAATAACTTGTGGAACGGTGTATGGATCTCTCTGAAATTATACCACAAGTTTCCATATCACAAAGGGATGGTTACGATTGGCTTTGGGGGGTTATGGCTCAAACCGTTGAGGAATTATGGGCAATAAAGGGGGTAAAACAAGGGTTTCCTGGTTACTGGACATTTAAGAAAAAGTACAATGTTATGTTTGGATTACCTCCCTTACACTGCTTTTAAATTATGTATAAAGAAATGTTGTATTGTCTTGAGGTGATTAGCTGTCAATTTATTTTTAGAAGTTACTATTTAAAAATGTTGATTAAGGAATATTAATTTTAGCCATGATTATGTATGTCATTTTCTATTTTAAGACTTTTATGATGTATTTAAATGGGTAGTTATGGTTGCAAACTCCATTGGAAATTTGAATTGAGATTATGACCATATCTTGAGGGAAAGAATTTTTTTTTTTTTTTAAAAGGGGGGGGGGGGGGGAGGGGAGGGGGGGTAAAAAAGAAATTGTGAGAGGGGACATTTTTTTTCTCATTTCAGATTTCAGAAATTAAAAAGAAAATTTCTTCAAATATAGTGTTTTGCACAAAAGCAAAAAATTGAGTATAAATTCAAATCATATAACCAATTCTAAGTTCTTTGACTTCAGTTATTCTGTGTAAGAAACCTATTATGTGTCAAATATTTAATTACAATCCAAATTCAGACCTGTACCAAGTGCGAATATTGTGTCCATTTTTGCCCCAACTTTGCAGGGTTGGACCTCTGTGGTTGTATCCAGCTGCGCTCGGCAAAGCAATTTATTTTATTTTGCTTCTTATTTGCTATTTTGAACTCATCATCTAGTGCCAAAAAGGAACACATTCCCTGCAGTCATAAGAAAGATTAGCATACAGAACATCACTTAGTGTATATGCCTTAATTTTTCAAGGTGGTGTTTCTCCTAAGAGCACACAAGTATTTTTGAAGGTCTTTAAAAAAAAAATGAAATATGAACTTTAATTTGACTTCTAGATGTCTTTTGTCTTTTTATGTCATAGGTTGCTGTCGCTTTGATATTTCCCCAAATCTCCTTTTATTAATGTTTTGAAAGATCAATACTAGTTATTCAGAATATTTCACAACGTTTAGTGTACTCAAGTAGAGCGAATTTTTTTTATCTTACTGATATTATTCTGTATATGTAAATGTTGATCTTCTGTTAGCTGATATATAGTTTATATATACAGCCAAATTATTAAATTAGTTACTGTTAGGTGGTTTAATTGTACAGTTTGTACATTGACTTTATATGTGAGATAGGCTGATCATTTTGTATCAAGAATCAAGAACTGTATTGAATGATAAAAAAAGAACTGTGACCTTTGTGGGTAGAATAATCAAACCCTGTTATAAGATAGGCATAGTTTTAGAAACCTAAACAGGAAGAATTAAACACTAATTAAAATCCTGAGTTATAGAATGATCTTCTTAAAATTTTATTTGATATCCATTCCAGGTGAAGCCAAGTCTGACACATTAACTTGCCATAAGTCTCCTACACATGACCCCTGGGATACAAGTGTTACTTCTTCTACATCCCAGCCAGTAGAAAACTTACAAAACTCACCTGATGAACTGGACAACATTGACCTTGATAAAGGTCAAACTGAACATTGTTTGACACCTGATGATTTGATTGACTGTCAAGAGGAAGCTGCTAGAATTATTTCAGACAATTTACATGACAAAATAAGTGTAAACAAAACAGATTTCAAATATTCTAGACGAAAAACTGAAAAGCCAAGAAAAAGAAAACGAGACTACAGTGTTGATCAAGATGATGTTGATGGACATTGTACAATATCATTGATAAATAGTCATTTAAGTCATGAAGATAAAAGTGAACGATGCAGCTCCACTTCAAATGTAAGTAATCACAACGAAGACTATGAAATGTCTGAAAATAGTGACAATACATTGTATTCTGTGACAGAAGATTTATCAAGACGATCTTCAAATACTCATATCCGGGAAGAAAACCAGTCTGAATTAGGCTGGCAAAATTTGGATGACATAAACCACAATTCAGTAGCTAGTTCTGTTAAGGATTTGGAGGATGTAATGAATCGTCATTTACCCGTTACTGGTATTGATAATGGAATGAAGTCTCCTACTGATCTCACAGTGCAGCAAATAGGTGGTGCTATGAATAGACAAAGGTCTGCCATTCAATGGGCTGGAAATAGTCATGATAGTAGTACACTTCCAGCATCAAACTTGTTGCGAACTTTATATGCCAACCGGGAGTCTGTTATCCGTAGTAACACCCGTCCATCATATGTGAATAATGATCCAGTGAACTTATTGACCCCACCAGAAAATGAGGGTCATAAAGACCATTTGACCTTACATATCCCACACATAGTCATTAGTAAAAGTACAGCTTTGCCATCATATTCTGGCTCTACCGTCTCGTGTAGTCTGCAAGATACATTTGACATTACACCGCCAGCATCTGTGTCACCAAATGATAAAATTCCCTCACATTTATATGATGGACACTATGAACATAGTGTTGCCAGTTCAAGTTTGGCAGCACCAATTCCAGTGAAATCACAAGCATTTTCACTGTCATTTGTTTCTCCTAGTCCAGACTATAATAACGGAACAAAAATACATCCTGCATCATATCAAGTTGGTGAGCACCCACCATTCATATATGGCGGAAATAGTACCTCTGGAGTTATATATGACTCTTGGTATTGAAATTTACTAAAATTACTTAAATTTATTTCTTCTTTTATTTAAACTTGTCTATTTCTATGTTTTCAGTATACTCTATACAGAAATGAAAGGTTTAGAAAGTAAAAGAAAAATCAGCTCAAATCTGTGAAATAAAAGAAGAATAAAATTTTGAGAAGATTTTTTATTTCTAAGCAGTATTTAAATGTTTTGTTATATATTTGTGACTTTTACTTAGTAAAACTGAGTTATTAATTTTGTATGTAATACGTTTAATAAATTTTATTCTTACTGAGAGGGTTTGCCATAGCAAACTTACTAGTAAGAATCTAAAAATTGATAATAGTCTGTAAATGCATTGAAACTTGTATTCATTGATGTACTTTTGAAAATAGTCCCTCATGGATTACATGCTTGAGAAGTCTATTTTTGTTTTGCCAAGGGTACACCAGATCATAAAGTTTACTAAATTCAGATATATGTAGACAACTGTTTAAAGTTGAACTTTGTTTGATTTTTAACTTTGTTTTCCTGTCAAAAAAAACCAATTATTGCTTTTGGGTAGTTTGAAGGATGGGCAAGATTGAAGTTACAAACCATGGGATTAATTGAGAACCATTAAACTAATCCTTTTCAAATTTTAATATGGTGTTTCTGATGACAAAATAGAGGTAAAATTCTCTGTTGCTGTAAATGAGTTATGGTCCTTGATTGATTTAAAAACTGTGCTTTATGTCCTTTCCAAGTAATAACATAAGAACTCTTTAACCAATCCTTTTCAAATTTTAATACATTGTTTAGAGGACAAGGGAGCTCAAATTTGATTCTTGCAAGTTTCACTTATGGTTTTCTGAAGTTATGTTCCTCTTTCTCCTGATTGCTTCATCAGTGACACTCATAAATGTAAAGGTACCCTGTTTGCTGTCAAACTCTTGTTGATATTTATTCCAATATGAGTTCTCCATTTAAATATCTTGAAAAAAGAACCCTTTTTTTCAGCATACTTTGTATTGTGTTTTTTGATATACTGTGTAGGAAGAGGATGTGAAATTATATATGTATTGCATGTGAAGCGATTATTATTTATGACAAAAGATCTGGTTTTAGAAAGTTATATGAAAAGAAATAAAAAATTGAAAAAAAAGAAAATATGCATGGATGTTGCAATATGATTAACTACCAAATCTAAGGAAATTCATTCATGTCAAGTTGGAGTTACATCTAAAATTAACACAACTGTAAATTAATTAAAATTTATAACATGTGATTTTTTTATCTTTGAATACACCATTATCTACCTGTATATTTGTAAAATTTCTTAAAGATTTGGACCACCCTTGAACACAAGCTTCTTTAATTACAAACTAATTTTTTTTATGTAAAAAATGTTAAGCTCATCCTGCATGAGCCTCACACTTGGATTCCATCATCAGTTGTTCTATTTATGATTCTTGTATAAACTTTTCCATTTTTGATTTTTTTTCTCTCAGATACCACAGTACAAATTGAAACAAAATTTGATCATAATCTGTTTAGGGTGTCTAGTTTAAAAATACGTCCAGTGTTCCAGATAATCAGCCAATGTGACTGTTGTTGCAAAAACACAGAACACTAGGGTAAAATAGATTGATTTGTTATATGCAGCTATTTTTTAGTTGAAAGTGAAATAATTCATAATTAGCTACAAATTTGTAATAGTGAATCTAGTTTTACCTATTATGACTGCCTAAGCTGATACATGGGTTATATGAACTGAAATGTGTAAGAAGAAATTGTAAATCACATGTAAGTTTTAATCCAGTGTAATCACTAAGAGAATTTCATGAACATGGCATTTTTCTGCTCTGTTGTCAGTCTTCCTTGACATATAGTTGTAGGATAACTTTTTTATATGAGTAGTTACATATCATATTTTGAGCTTGATTTTATTTTATCGACTTTTGATTGCTCAGTTTTTATACATATTAGTGCTGATATTTGATACTTGATTGAATAATTGCAGATAACGTATACATTTTTATCAATTTGACCAACTTTTACTCAATTATTACACTTGGACTTCAATATAAATATGATGGCTCCTTAAAAGCTTGTCTCAGATAGTGAAATAGTGGTATCAAGTCTTATTTCAATTTGCCATTCTCTGTAATGTTCTACTTACTGTTTGCACAATAGATACAATACATACAATGTATACTGTATTTGCCATTTTTGGTAGTAGCTCACCGTTCATTATATAAGGTGTGGAATGATTTATCTTTTTCTTTTTTTCTGGTAGATATGAATTTATACCCTCAAATTATATTATAAAATACTTTTTTTCTCTCTCCAATCTGCCTATGAGTGAATGAGCTGTTGGATTTCCTCTGGTTTAAATCCTTTTGTCTTTCATTTTACACTCAAAACAACAGATTTCATACTGTTGAAAGTAGGGTGTTTCTGGATGTACACTCTATATATCCTTCATAAGATTGAGAAACACTAAAACTGATAAACCATCCAGGAAGTATTAACATTGATCTGTATGTGGATGCTGTTTCAACCAAAAAATTATTGTTACTGGTACCTTGAAAATTTTATTTGATAGAAGTTTGCTCATAGCAGCACAGTTTACAATAGTGTTATTTCTGCCAAGAGAATAATGGTAGAAATTAATACTGTAAATTCAGAAATTATTGTGTCCATTTATTATTGCGATTTTTGAAGAGTGGATAAAAATGAGAGATAAATTATTGTGATTTCAGGAAAATCTGCATTAAGATACATGTATCAGACATCAGAATGCGAGGTCTTATTATTGTGATACTCACACAGTGGCATTATTCACATTAATAAAAAACTCTCAATAATTTCTGAATTTACAGTATAGTTGAACAATGAAAACCATAGTAAATGACATGTTTATTTTAACAGTATTGTTGTTGTTTTTTTTACCAATATAATTGGTTTTGTATGATTGTTATCATGTACCTCATTATGAGTCTAAAATGAATGTTATAGATTTGTTAGCTGAATGTCATTACAATGAATGTTGCTTTATTGTCATCAACATTAAAAAAATACATTTCCTTGTGAGTTTTGTTACTGATCTTATTTTGTTAATATTGCTGAGCAATACTGTTTTGATCGTCCTAGATATGCGTGAAATATCTTCCACTGGACCTTAAGGTGGATCATCACTATATATTTCCTCAGAATTTTATAATACTTTGTCAAAATGGAGATTTTGCCATGCTTTTTAAAAAAATGTAATCAAAAGTAAAGGTCACTGTGCTATTTTTTAAGCTACAAGTCGTGCAAAATTGCCCAATTTTGCATAGATTATTCATGAAAAACACTTTTTTGTGAATAAAAAGAAATCTATGAGATAGAATTTTGAAATAAAATATGAAAAGATAGGTTTTATAATATGCTTTAAGCAAATAAAAAGAAAAAAATGGTGTCACCAAACTTGTTCTCTTGCTACAAGTAAAAAATGAAAATTTCACTATCACTCCAGTATAAAAATTTTACTATAAGAGTGATCTCCCCTTATATTGCTAAGTTGAAAATTCGAATTGAACAATTACAAATATTTTGTATTTGTTAAAACAGTCTAAATAATGCTATAAATCACTTATTTTTCTTTATTTAAACGAAAAGTCTTACACATTAACTGCCAATCTGTCTAAATATTTGCAGATTTAAGCAAAGAACTAGTCCAATTGTGTACTGCTATTTTACGACCCAAGATGGCGGTATATAGTTAATCTACCTTAAGGAGGCAAAATTTAAACAGTCATATTTACTTTATTATATGGTCATCTCAAATATTCGACTTTGCAGGCCCAATTCCCAAGCCAATTCCATAAATGGACTATATTTCATTGGAATTCTATTTTTCTGTGATGCCCACTGCACTTAAAGAAATATATGACTGGATAGCAAGTCTTTTTAAGAACTTTTTCAGTAAGCTTATACTTTTAAATAATTTCTATAGAAATAATAGAAAACCAAAGGTACCAAGGAGCCTACGTTGCTAACCTAGCATTTTAGGATGCTTAAACCATAAGATTTATACAAAGCAACAGGAATATTTATGTTGAATGTAAACTGTGGGTCAAAACCATGTCTTACTGACAATTGGTGCTGCATAGAGGTTTTTTTGTAAATCCTTTATAATGCTTTAAAGTAATAGACATAAATGAAAAACATTGGAATCAAATTATGATTTAGGGACAAAAACTCTGGCAGGAAGTCCATTAAAGCTTTCAATCATATTGACTTCTTGCGAGGTGTACTAGTACGCAACTGAGTCCAGTCAAAATGGGAACGTTAAAACCGATGCTTCGTGTAAAGAAAATTCCATGCTCTTTGCACTTTAAGAACCCTTGCAACAACTCTTTACAAGATCCGTAGGTGGCCTGTTGCAAGACACAATTTTTGTCCCTATTCAATAAAACCTCATTTACCGCGACCTTTATCCCGGACAGACTCAATGACAGGACCTACCTATTGTATCTATTGTTATATGTTCTCGTCCTGAACATATATGAATATTTGCCACTTGAAGTTTAGCAACCGACAGTCAATCAACCAATACCTTTTCTTGCGCAAGAAAACCACGTGCATCCAGAAATATTAATGTCACTCACGGAATGTGAATTTTTGCATTTCTTCACTAAATTCAGGACACGGCAGTAAAAGCTAATACATGCGACTTTGAGTCATAGTCATCATTAAAGTACTCTGACCTCTAGTTGTTTCTCATTTCATTTATTTTTAATTACTGTCCTATTATAAACTTTGAAATTTTCGAAATACTAAGGATTTTCTACCCCGGGAATAGATAAGCTTTAGCTGTAATTGGCAAAACCTTTCAGAATTTTGGGTCCTCAATGCTAAACTTCGTACTTCATTTGGCCTTTTTAAATTTTTGATTCAAGCGTCACTGATGAGTCTTCTGCAGACGAAATGCGCATCTGGTGTACACAATTTTAATCCTGGTATCTATGATTAGTTTATTAACTTTTATCAAACATCTTTTTAAATAAATTGGTTCCATTGAGAGCATGTCCAGGTATTAATAAAACTTCTGAAAACAAGATATTCTTCAAAACTAAGTTTTTCCTGTGAAAGCCTTGTCAGTATAGAAGAGGTCATAATGAAGCTGGTGTGTTACTCTCAAGAACAAAATACGAAACCTTCTTATAAGTTGTATGACACAGAATTAAACTTCACATGGAAATTGGACTTTCCACTTCTCTATACCACTTCTATCATTTTAACAGACAGCTTCAATAATGAGTATAAGAAAATTAAAGGCATCCAGGAAACAAACCTGAAGATATGATAGGTAAAATAAATGCATCAAGATTATAAAGCAAACTGAGTGCTGAAATTTATATTGCGGTTTGCTTTAGACATCTGGTTTGCAGAAACTGGGAGTTGCAATAGGATTAGGACTTTGTATATTAAACAGGAAGAAAAAAATTATGTAAACTCCCAAGTAATTAAATAAAATGGTCAAGCATTAGAAGGTAAATTCAAATGGTAGCTGTATACACTTTTCTATTTACAACTGAACTCCAACAGGGCTTTTTAATTGACTTTTGCAAGAATCTACACACAATTACATATTTTTTAAAAGGTGTTTTAGCATCATCATTACCTAATTCTTTTCACAGTCAATCATTTCAAATCAAAAGTTAAAATAATGAGCAACAATTTGTTGGTGACCAGTCAGAGGTCTTGGTTCACGTAGTGCTTTTCTTTTTTTATACGCCCGTCAAATTTTTGACGGGACGTATTATGGTATACAAATGTCCGGCGTCCGTCCGTCGGTCTGTCCGTCTGTCTGTCCGTCTGTCTGTCCGGCGTAAACATGTCGCACCGTAACTTGAGAATGACTTATCCAAATTTCATGAAACTTAACATAGTTGTTTCTTATGATGGTCAAACGATCTCTATACTTTTTGGTGAAAATAAAATTAAAACTTTTTGAGTTACTGGACTTAGTAACTAAAAACAGGTGTGTGTTTTTTTTTCACATGTCGCGCCGTATCTCAAAAACAATTTATGATTATTGCTTAAAACTTTACACACTTCTTAGTTATATTAATCTTAAGATCTGTACACTTTTTGGTGATGATTCAAAATTTTATTTTAGAGATATTGAGTTTTTTGTTAAAAAAGGGGGAGGGGTTTTTCACATGTCGCGCCGTATCTCAAAAACAGTTTATGATTATTGCTTAAAACTTTACACACTTCTTAGTTATATTAACCTTAAGATCTGTATACTTTTTTGTGATGATTCAAAATTTTATTTTTGAGTTGTTGAGTATTTTGTAAAAAAAGGGGGAGGGGTTTTTCACATGTCGCGCCGTATCTCAAAAACGATTTATGATTATTGCTTAAAATTTTACACACTTCTTAGTTATATTAATCTAAAGATCTGTATACTTTTTGGTTTTGATTCAAAATTTTATTTTTGAGATAATGATTTTTTTTTTTTTAAAAGGGGGGTTTTCACATGTCGCGCCGTATCTCAAAAACAATTTATGATTATTGCTTAAAATTTTACACACTTCTTAGTTATATTAATCTAAAGATCTGTATACTTTTTGGTTTTGATTCAAAATTTTAATTTAGAGATATTGAGTTTTTTGTAAAAAAAAAAAAGGGGGTTTTCGCATGTCACGCCGTATGTCAGAAACTATTTATGCTTATTGCATAAAAATTCACACACAAGACGACGGGCGTATCATGCGCTCATGGCGCAGCTGTTTATTAAAGATAGTTTCTAGAAGGTAGCCATGCAAATACTTTGATAAACATCGTCATTTACTTTAAGGGTCAATTACTCCTAGAATTTATCATCTGAATATTTTGGTCCAAATAAATGGCAGAGGCGGGTTTAGTGGGAGGGGGAGGGGGCAGGTCACCCACTTCCTTATCGAGCTACAAATTGTTTATGTACAAAATATACAGACTTTTTAAAAGTCCACTCGACCTGGATCTGTAGCTGAATGGTATGTAGATCTTGACATTCTGAGCGTTTCTGTGTCTATCTATAACGGTTTTCAAGATAAAAAAATGATAACCTGCATTTCAACTCTATGATTAATTTTAGCTATATATATATATAAAGTCTGTTAGTATAATAGTCCCAGATATAGTAGGCATTTTTTTTGTGACTTGCATGATCCACCAAATTTCAAAGTAAACACCCTAGTCTAGAGATATGATTGTGGCAAATTAATCCAGATTATACTGGTAGTTTCTATCAATTACAACTTTTGATATTATAGCCAAAAACACACATAAATGACAAAATTGTAATAAAAGGGAAATAACGATTTGGGTCATATTTGACTTATTTGTATAATTTGTGTTCGGTTTTTCCTATTTAAATTTTCTCTGCATCTATTCAAGTTTTCGCCATTAAAGAACAATAACTGATGAGAAGTTGACTGAGAGTTTCGAGTAAAAAAGTCGTCATTTAAAAGTAAAAACTCCTAGAATTAGTTTAACTTCTACAAGAAATTTCTATGAAATCACTTGGTCAATTTGAATCAAAACAGCATTGGGTCATCAAGTTTGATACACGTGTCCGATGATCGGCTAACGACGGCAAATCAACTTCACAAATAGATTACATATTTTCAAACAACGATGTTATTAATACTGCCATGGTAATCGTCAAGATCCTATTAACTCATCGTCACATCTGCCGGTCATAGCCAATTTAACAAAAAGATTAAAGACAGAAGTGAAAAAGGAAAGAAAAGCCACACAACTTACAAACTTTTATTGGAAAAAACTGACAAGAAAGAATACAGAAACGTACTCAACCAGATGATAGCAACTTGTAACTGGAACGACTGTGATGTGAACGAAAAAGTAAACCAACTTACCTCCATCCTTCACAAAACAGCAGACAAAGTAGTACCAAAACAACTCATTCAGCTAACTGGATTCAAAAACAAAGCCTCGCCAAAAGTACGACAGCTGATACAACAACCAGCAAACAGAAGCACAGAGAATGGGACATTGCCGGGCGACCAAGAAACAACCATATACTTTTTGTGGAGAAA